CAATCAACTGATTATAGTTTAAACAAAATTATGGAGGAGACAATGATTAAACAATGAAATAAAAGAAGCATGGTGGAAGGTTTAATAATCTCATACCCTAATTATCCACTAACTAAATTACATTTTCTTAATATTCTTTCCTTAAATCTCTCACACATAATTCATAAATAAAGTTCGAATCTTTTGGAAAAAGAGAGAGATAGCGACTTATGGATTCTAACCAGATCTCTATGCTTCATGAACTCATTCCCTTTGTAGTGATGTCACAACCCAACCACTCAAACCTATACTTATTTGTGGATAACACTATAGAATATATACAATAGATATATATATATATATATATATATATATAATTTCTCAAACAAGGTCTTAGATTTTTTATTTTTAATATCTGAATTTTGAGTAATTCAAGCCTTTTAAAAAATAAAAAATAAAAGTTGGTAACAGTCCAAATCTACTACTAGTATATATGTCTTTTTTGGCCTCTCTTTTGGGCTTCTTCTACTCCTAAGTTTTAAAATGTGTCGGTTAGGAAGAAGTTTCTATACCGTTATAAAGACTCTATTTTGGGCTTGCTAAGAAAAAGTTTTCACACCCTCTTGGGCTTCTACTCGAAGTTTTAAAACGTGTCTGTTAGGAAGAAATTTTCACACCCTTATAAAGACTCTCTTTTGAGCTTCGAGGTTTTAAAACATGTCTGTTAGGAAGAAGTTTCCACACCCTTATAAAGACTCTTTTGGTCTTTTACTCGAAGTTTTAAAACAGGTCTGTTAAGAGAAAGTTTCCACACCCTTATAAAGAATGGTTCGTAAGGTCTTACAATCTACCCTCCTTTAGGGCCAACGTCCTTGTTGGCACTCGTTCTCCTCTCTAATCGATGTGGGATCTCTCAATAGGTTACTGTCATTGAAATTATTTATAAACATCAAAAAGATGTCCTCCTTCAAGTATCGATGTCAATTCGAGTAGATGGATGACATTACTAAGATTCGAACACATGTCTTTTGTGAACACTTTAATGAGTCTCACAATTGATGGATCAGGTTTTGGAGGTTATCATTACCCTTGGGAGAAGATAGAGACCACCCATTGGCAAACCCATTTGGGCCATCAAGCAAGAGCCTTGAAGGAGTGAATTTGGAGCCGATCATGGTGATGGTTGGTGAAAATGAATTGCTGAAAGAGAGAGTCCAACACTATGCCAAAACACTCTCACAATTGGGACACAGAATTGAGTATGTGGAGTTTGAAGGCAAACAACATGGGTTCTTCACTAGTTCTCAAGATACTCAACTGGGCGATCAAGTCCTGGCTATTATCAAACGTTTTATGCTTCAAAATTCTCTTTGAATTTCACATACTGAATTATCCTGATGAACTATCCATAGTGTTCTTCCATGTGATTCATGAAAGTTTGTCAAAGATAATAAGTTGAATAAACAAATGGTAACAGGTGTTCTTCCATCGGAGATTTACAGAGTTTTCTGCCTATTTTTCAGTCCTCTATTCAAAATCAAAATCAAAATCCTAACCCACGAGATTGGCCTAAACCATACTCTTTTGGCCATCGAAGATTCAATAGCAACATTTAGAACAAAGTCAATATATCATTTCTCTTTGTACCACTAACTAGGGGTGTACATTTAATCCGACAACCTGGACTAATCCAATCGAATTATAGGGGTTGGGTTGGGTTCATTTTTTTGAACCCGAACTGATTCAAGATGAATAAACCATCGGCTAAATACCATAAACCCGCTCAAAAGTTTAAGAACTGAAGGGTTGATAGACACAATCAATTGCATGTATCAGTTTTCTACAAGGCCCCACCGCATTTGCACCTATATTTTTCAGTTTTTTCATGGTGTTAGATTTACCAGCTGAAACTTATTGATACCTTTTCTCTGGAAAATACCCACGAATTGGATACTGAAAGCTTTATCTTGATTTTGGGGCATGATATCTTGCTTCAATGGTTCTTTCAATGTCAAATTACAATGAACAGGGGAAGGTTTCAGACTTAGTAGCTTAACATTTTTAGAAGCCGATGGCAGCACAGCTGCGGACACTTCTAAACATGTCTTTTCAAGAGCTCCTGATTGGCATTTTGTTACTTCTTTGGCAATTGGTTGCAGCTGACTTTGTCCAGCAATGGAGGTTGAGGATTTTTGAGCTATCGCCATAGAAGGCACTAGGATTGCGACTATCTGCTTCTTTACCACCACCCAACTATCATCTCCGTGCATATCCAAACCAACAATGGAGTTTGAAGAGCCAGAAAGATGACTAAGAGTAATATTCTGTCTTTGTTTCGTTTTCACCATCTCACTGATTATTTCATAGTTTATAGACAATAAGCAACTGAAGCTGTTGATCCGAAGAAACAAGATAAATTATACAGAAAACGTAACAAGACTATATATCACAATGTAGCTACTTCCTAATGGGATACACAATATTGTCCTGCAATAAGACCACCAAGTTATCCATGAACCATAGATATACGTTCAGCAGTAGCCTAACTCAAATACCAGTTTAAACAACAAGATATACTTCCAGTCTCAGATGATGCATCAAGATGGAAATTTGGAAAAAGGTCAAGGCTAACATTCTTATTTTGTATGCTCAAAAACCTAACCTTCTACAGTTTTGGCTAACATCACTAAAACACATATCCATTACCAACAATTGGATGAAAGTACATCTCCATCCACCATTCTAAATCTTGGTTTAGTTCATAACTCTTGATGGTTCATATTCTCATTTATTTTGGTTTTTAAATCTCATTTAGTTCATAACCATTTTGATTCATATTCTTATTTATTTTGGTTCATAACTCTCATTTAGTTCAAACCTTTTTGGTTCATATTCTCATTTATTTGGTTCATGTATGAGAATTAGTATTGCTATGTCTATATAAAGGCTTGTCTAGCATTGTTTGGAGGTGTGAAGTCATTGTCATTTTGTATTTCTCTAGAGGCAATTGGGAGAAATTTGGTAAGAGAGACTTTGTAGTGTGAGAGTGTGAGAGATACACTTGTAAACACTTTAGTTATAGTAATTGGCTACCACCCGTGAATGTAGGGGAATTTCTTCTCTCCGAACCACGTAAATTTTTGTGTCTCTTTGTTTAATTTCTATTTGAGGGTGTGTGAGTGCAATCAATCTTGCTTCCGTCTCTACTACATTAGGTATCAGAACGTTTTGGTTGTGGTATTAAGATACAACAAGTGGTATCAGAGCATTTGTGGCATTACCACACAACAAATCCTTTACACACTAAATAATTAACTTTTTGATTTTGATGTGAACAAATTCTGTAGTATCAAACCTAAAGACCATTTAGGATTCCCCAGTTCCTCACTCCTTCAGCCTTCCCAAGTGTGATTTTGTATACTTCTTCCACTCACTGCATTCCTTTACAAGTTTGACAATCCGCATGAACTTCCAAGATTCTAACCATTTAACAAGGAGATATCTAAAATTTGAAAAATCGTAGCCTCGAAATGAGATGTCATAGGCTAATTTGCACTCTATCGCTAACAATCCTCACAATATACACAGGCCAAAACGGCCTCTGCACTTGGAAAATACAGCATACAGAACTGCACCTACGTATTTCACGAGGTAATACCAAACATTATATACATCAAGCGATAGCGTTTATCCAAGACTAATTTCTGTATTGAAAAACAAAATTGACACAGAAAATCAACAAAATAACACAATGTCTAATCACAGAAAAGAAAATTGCACGCTCAAAAAACTCAAAACTGATTATGGACCTAAAGATTCTAAAGATCGGCTAAGTGTGATTGATCTTCTTCGAATGCTATTTAAGCTCGAAATCATAAATTTCAACTTCATTTCAACATCTCAGACGCAAACAATTTCTACAAAATCCGAATATAAGAAGAATAGCGGTAACGTACCTGCAATCGGATCTCCTCGAGAGAAAGCGAAGGTCGGCGGCATGTGGTAACAAGGATAATGGATGGTGTGATGAATCTGGTAAAGAACCTGAAGTGAAGATTTGGATGAGTCTCTCTTCTCTCTATGTTCGTTCTCCACTTCTCCGTTTCTGTATTTGTTTCCAAAATTCTTCGCCGTCGTCCTCATTTGAATAGAAAATGGCTTACAAATTTCGGATAAATAAATATTAAGCGAAATTCATTCTTTTTGGGAAATTTTCAATTTTTTTTATCATAAAATCTTATTTTCGAGATAAACATTATAATCTTTACGTAAATAATCGTTGCTATATTTATTAGTTTTTTTAAAATATTAATTAAACAATATTCTCATGCAGTCTTAATAGCATAGTTTGAATCTCTTCCTAAAAATTAATAAAATATAGAAAAAGATAAAGATGTGATATTATCTACATTGAACATAAGCTCTCATGTTTTTGCTTTAGGCTTCTTCAAAAAGTCTCACACCAGAGAATATTCTTTGATTAAAAACTCATGATCATTTCCTAAATTAGCCGATGAAAATGTAAAAAAAAAAAAAAAAAAAAAAAAAAAAAAAAAAAAAAAAAAATTCTACAGCATGTTTTCAATTATTTAAAATTAATTTTCATCCGGTTACCTTTGAAACCATAAAATCGAAGATTAAGTCAATGAGGTGGAGTAGCATGATGCAAGTGAAAGGAGAAATTTTGCCGAGATCGAAGCCTCCTCCTCCTCTATTTTGATGATCAACCATCAGCGAATTACGCATTCCCAAGCATCAAACACTCCGCATCATCAATCAGAATCAAGATTTGTTGTAAGTTGTCATGAAGATTTATTATCATAACTCTCATTTATTTCATAATTCTCGATGGTTTATATCTCATTTATTTTGGTTATTAACTCTTGTTCAGTTAATAACACTTCTAGTTCATATTCTCATTTATTTGGTTCATGTATTGTTATTTCTATATAAAAGCTTAACATTGTTTTGAGAGGTGGAGTCATTATCATTTTGTGTGTTAGTGCTATACAACTAAACACTGTGGTTATTTCTTCTTATTGAATCATGTAAATTTGTGTCTTTTTGTTTAATTTTCTATTTGTGTGCGTGCGCACGAACGATCTTACTTCCACTTAACAATTCGATATCATAATATTTTGGTTATGACATTTGGCAAAAATAATTAAGCATCAGGAGGTTGAAAGTTGTGGTATTATAGCATAACAAGATTCTAAAGAGTACAAGAATTTTGGAGGAGAATCGGATTGAGTGTGAGAGCTTCTAACTATGGCGATTCGCGATCGAGGAGATGGATCGATTCTGTAACAAACAAATGAATGGAGAAAATGCCGTCCGATCGTCTTCTTCAACTGTGCTATCTAGCCAATGGAACTTGCTCCGCCAGAGGAGTCGACAACGGCGTCGGAATGGGCGAGGTCCGGCAAACCGGACAGGTTGGGTGAAGCCTCAGCCACGGATCGACACACTTGAGGTGGAACAAATGGCCGCAATCGGGCAAAATCCGAAGAACATCGGAGTTTTTGTAATCGGCCAAACAGATAGAGCAACAAGAAGCAGAGGAATCGTTGTTCTGAATCTTCGCCTCTGAATACAGCAATTTCGGAAAATTCCTAATCGTCTCCTGATCGATTCCGATATCGACGACAACTACGGCATCCTCCTCCGCCAGCCGCGGCGGCGGCGGCGGCGAGAGATTGACGTTGTTCTGAATCCCGGAGGTCGGCGATTGGACGACTCTGGTGCAGTAATAGGAAGCCAAGAGGATTGTAGTGATGAGAATCAAAAGCCCTAACGAGACGCCGATTCCATATCCGTATCCGCCGATGTTGCCTGAGGACAGAAATCCGCCGCCGTCGTCGGTGCCGTTGTTCATCGTGGTGAGATGCAGATGAGCAATAGCCGCTGCCGGAGAGGGAAAACGGTGAGAAGATTGGATTTATCAGTTGCCATTGTTGTAAGTCGTTGATTATTTTGGAATTTTTTATGGCTCTATTCAGAAGTCAATGCCATTTAATGTTTGACTCTTTTTTCACTAAATATTAAAATTTATTGACCATTGACGCAATATTTAAATACATTTATATCCTTTATTTTTTTAATTCAGAAATATATCAAATGAAGATAGCAAATTTTAACCCTCTATTCTCAGAAGATAGCAAATCTGAAGAGAAACGTGATCTTAACAACACTAGTCTTTCTTCTCTCCAAGAAGAAGAGTATAAATCTCGGTAGAGGATGAATTTAGTTGATGATTCTAGAACGATGACTCCGACCATATACTTTTCCCTCCCAAGTTTTCTCCCAACTTTCTTTCTCACGCTTTACTCTCTTGGGTAGTTTGTGTAGAATCATCCACACCCCTATAATGGACTGAAGGGTAAAATGGTCATTTTTCCCCTGACTTTGACCGACCATTTTTTTTTATTAACTAAACGAAAATGGAACATGAATTATTTTTAAAATAAAAATTATCCATTAATTTTTTTTAAATAATTTTTTTATAAAGAAAATATATAAAAAGATGTATTTGGGATGTTTTAAAGAAAGGTGCTATTGAGGCATTGGACCCCTATGGTATCTCGTATGCATTCCGACCATTGACCGAACCAAATCAGTCAACTTCAAAGTGGATTTGTTGTGTGAAGAGGGAAAATTTTTTCCACAGGGAACTGATCCCCGAATTCCTCGTTCAATCCCACAAAAATAAATTGAGAATTTTGCTGAAATGGAAATTGAAATAGGAAGTAGCTTTACTGTCTCCGCTCTATCTCGTAGACATCTCTACTAAAAATTCAGACATAACCAGACATAAGTTCATTTTTTTAATAAAATATTGAAATTAATCCAATAAGAATTATAAATAAAATTGAAAATTAAAGACAAAGATGAAATTCTTGAAGTCAACGGGGTATGCATGTGACCATTGGATGAATAAATATCATTGGCTAAAGATTTAATTATTTAATTATAAATGATAATTGATGATAAAGTTATTACACTACAAACATCATTCAATGTTTGAAAATGACAATATTATTTCAAAATAATTACAATATAGCCATTAAAAATTATATTTAAAACCATAAATATTTGATACCTTTGGGTCTCGTTCATTTATCATTTTTAAATTTTTAATAACCGTTGCATAATTATACGCTTCTAAGAAAATATCAACACACTTTGAGCATCAATATATCGAGCAATCTATACTATATTATATTTAAAGTTCATTTGAGGACGACACTTCAAAGATTAAATAATTTTTTAGAACAACAAAAATTAAAATAAAAAATAAAATAGTTATGAAACGATGGTGGTGAACATTACTTCTTGTTGGCAAGGACGACAGAAAGAATAATGATGAAGAGGATAAATATAAAAGCAGCAACGCCTATGCACATCCATTTTCTGGTGTTTTTTTGGTAGTGTCTTGCGGTTTGTAGCTCAGTGGCACCGCGCTTGATGGCGGAGTTGGCTCGAGTCACTTGGCTCTCAATGTCGTCCAAATGCTGCCCTTGCGTTTGGACTAGTACCGCCATGTCCATGAACACTTGGTGTAGCTCTTTTAGGTTCTTCTCAATGTCTTTCACTGCGTCGTGCCTTTCTTGAATCTCTTGGATTGTTTCTAGAACTTTGCCTTTTCCTTGCTTCTGTATGGCTTTTTGTAGGAATGTCTCGCTTTCACCTTTATCATACCATATATACACGGTTTTTAATTACGGGAAATGAAAATTTAAAATAATCACAAATTCAAGAACCGAAAATCGAACCTGTAGAGATCAAGAGATCGATCGTCTTCTCATCGGGATTCTCCCCTGTAATCGTAAAATATCTTCGTTCAATCGTCTCCTTATACGTCGACGAGATCTCCTCTCTCAACCGGTTGAAATTCTCCATCGAATCACAAAGATTTTTCCTCAATCCATTGACGACGGAAGTTCTAGACCGGTCAGCAGAGGAGCCATACCCACAACCAGGAAGATTCCGATTCTCGGTATTGGACCGGTCGAGTTCCTCCAATCGAAGCTTGATAAACCTAGCTTTCTTCAAAGCCAAAGTCAAATCTGATTCCATTCGAGATCGAAGATCCTTAATCGCCTTCGAGTTATGCAAAGTCTTACTATGTTCATGAGAATTCTGGAGGCTTCGATGGAGGCGTTCGAGCTCCGCCAATTCTGCTTTCACGGACTCGACGTCTTCAAAGAAATTGTTTAGATTGATAGTTGTTGACGACGGAACATCGGGGGCCATCTCGACGGAGTGGTGGTGCGGATCCCGACGGAAGGAATCGGAGGAAAACAAATCATTCATAGTGATTCTTTTACTCTAAATCTCAATGATCTTGAGGAATTAAGAGAAAAATGGAATGGCGATTAGGAATTTAATGAGGGTGGAGCGGCAAGGTTGACTTTTCAAATACCTTAGAACAAGTCTTCTACTTCCTTTATTTTATTATTATTATTGTTATTTTTAATTCTCTTAAAGAGGGTATTTTATATATATATATATATATATATATATATATATATATATATATAGTAATTATTAAACAAAAATGTTATAGTTTTAAATATTTATTTATTTATTTATTCACCTTAAATTAAATAGTACAAGATGTTTGACTTAGATATACGTAACAATCATTCTACAATATTTGGAAGTCAACGCATAACCAGCTAAGATAAACACTCCACCTCTCACCAACTCCCCTTCCTAATTAATTATTTAAATTAAACAAATTAGAGGTTAATTTTTTAAATTTAAAGTTTATATTATAAATATGAGGAAAAAAATGGTACGAGCTAGTCATGTTTAGGTTGACTTTTAAATTATTCGAGGTATTTTTTATTTATATAAAAAATAAACATATGTTTTTTAATTTTATGTATTTTTTTAAAAAAATAAAAATTTAAATAATCTCGAGTTCAAATTTTTGTACGTTTTTAATTTTTTTAATTTAATTAAAATTCAATAATAATAATAATGATAATAAACAAGGTTAATATTATGCAAGTTGTAATAATTTTTAGGCAAATTGGATAGGAATAATTGGCAAGTTGTGTGTGCGTGAATTTAAATATTTGTTACGAATTTCAACGGTCAAAGAGTATCCAATCATAATCACAGCTGAAATTAAAGAACATAACAACGACCGTTGACTTTTAATACGGCAATGAACTCGTTGTCTTATTCTATGGTTTTAGACTTGAATCAAAATATACACGTTTCAAGCTATAGCATATTATTAAGAGGTTTGATATGATGTTCGAGTATATAAGAGATATATGAATGAACCGAGACTATATTCGAATGAGAGTGTGTGAGATCTCACGTTGGTTTGAGAGGAGAACGAAGAATCCTTTAAAAGGTGTGAAAGCATCTCTCTAGTAGACACATTTTAAAACCATGAGGCTAATGATGATATGCAATGGGCCAAAGCGAGAGGGTGGATTGTGAGATCCCACGTTGGTTGAAGAGAAAAACGAAGCATTCCTTATAAAGGTGTGAAAATCTCTCCCTAGTAGATACGTTTTAAAATCATGAGGCTGATAGTGATACGTAACGGGTGAAAATGAATAACATCTACTAGTAGTGGGCTTGGGCTGTTACGGAGTGACCCTGAGGATAAGACAGTTGAGAAAAACTTTAAAAAATAGGAGTTACTACATATACCAACGTGGTCATGTCGTGGGGATGCAGTGGAATGTCGGGGTCGGGGTCATGCCGTGGGGAGGCAGCGGAATGTTGGGATTGTGGTCATGCCATGGGGATGTAGTGGAATGTGGGGGTCGTGGTCATATCGTGTGGGATGCAGTGGAATGTCAGGATCGTGGTCATGCCGTTTGGGATGCAGTGGAATGTCGGGGTTGTGGTCATGTCGTGGGGGATGTAGTGGAATGTCGGGGTCATGGTCATGCCGTGTGGGATGCAGTAGAATATCGGGGTCGTGGTCATGTCGTGGGGGATGTAGCGGAATGTCGGGGTCGTGGTCATGTCGTGGGGGATGCAATGGAATGTTGGGGTCGTGATCATGCCGTGGGGATGTAGTGGAATATCGGGATCATGGTCATGCCGTGGGGATGCAGTGGAATGTCGAGATCGTGGTCATGTCGTAGGGGATGCAGTAGAATGTTGGGGTCGTGGTCATGTCGTGGGGGATGCAGTGGAATGTTGGGGTCGTGGTCATGCCGTGGGGATGCAATGGAATGTCGGGGTCGTGATCATGCGTGGGAATGCAGTGGAATGTCGGGGTCGTGATCATGTCGTGGGGATGCTATGGAATGTCGGGATCATCAAGTGTCGAATTCAGATTCCAAATCCTGATTCGTTTTACGGTTAAATCGATTCAAATCAAAAGTTTACAAAACCCTAGTTCATCAATTCATATCTTTATATAATATGAGATGTTAATACAAAGAGTTTGTTCTTCTAATTTGGCCAAGTTTCAAAAATATTCTTGGCTTCCTTCTAATACCCTATTTACACACCATCTCCCCATTGCTTGGCTTCACCTCTAAACCATGACTCTTACCAACTTCTACTTCATTATCCACCATAATTACAACATGATCTCCACACTCCCCGTCGAACAACGGGTTCACGATCCCTCGATGAAGCAACTGCGTCGACTTCTCCGGTGACACCGTCGGCTCCACGCTTTTGAAGCTCGCCAACACACCGAGCTCTTCGATAGCCTCCAATATCTTCTCCACCGACTTCACGATGTCGATCAATATGCAACAAACTGTTGCATCTGGTATGATCCCTAGAAGGTCAGAGCTCTCCATATATCCAGTTTTGAGTGTGTTCTTAAGCTCATCAATGGCGGCCGTGGCGTTTTCGATGTGGGTTTTGCTCGATGAAGACGGGTTTGTCATTGTTTTGATGGATGAAGCTAATATACGTAGAGCTTTCCCGGATTCTGAGCTTATGGCATTGCAAGATTCTTCTATTCTTCTTCGAAATTGAATCGCCAC